TACTGCCATCTGTGTTTTAAAGGCACATTCATAATTGGATTTATGATAACTGGTTCCTGCATTTTGGATTCGGCTGGTTGCTGGTTTATCTACAATCAAGGAAGTCGTCAGCAGCAAATTTGGACTCGATCAAGCTGCTTGCCTTATGATGGCTTGGTTCGTGCCTCGAGCACCCAGACTCTTGGCAGAATTGATCAGATCTTGGGGATTATTCTCAGGCACGGTCCACTGGTATGGTCATTTAATTTGGACGTTTCGAAACCGAGTGGACCGACACAGACTCAAGGTAGATGTCATTAAATTCTGCCTGTCCACCAAACAATCATCTTTATCTGAATTCGGCTCCCTGACTGGCCTTGACAGGCCGTCTTATCTCAACCCACCTGTAAGTTTTGTAAACCTGATGCTCAGCCCCTCCCTCCCCTCCTACAGAGGAATTCCATGGACTTTTCAGAGGAGCCCAGCTGAATAAACATTCTGTCCTGAATAAACATACTGTCATCATTTCAGGACTCTTTGGATTCGTCCTTGGCCGTCCTCGGCAAAATGTAAATGAGGATGATGGGCACGCTCATGTAAAACTTGTCATATCTTCTCTGACAATAAACATCGTATTCTGATGTTGACTCTTGTTTTGTGTCATTTATTGGATTAAAAAAATAAGTCTTAATAAACAAAACATACTCACAACTTTGTTTTCTCATTTAACAAGCCTCAGAAAAAAATCACTGTGAGAATCACTGTAATGCCACTTGGTTGTTGACATGTGCTGCTGACCATCCATGATGCTGATCTCATGCTGCTGATTATCATTGGTCCTCATCTGCTCACACAGACTCATGTTCGTGCTGCTGTTGTTTTGGCACATTATTTTTGTACTATTATTGCTTAGCATATTCTTAGTCTTGTGTATTGTTAGTTTAGTGAATGTAGTGTATTCTTAATTCATGACTCGGATCTTACTAATGTTTTTCTTTCTGGATTACTGAGCATGGACTTTGTTGTTTTTCTTTACAATTTGTGTTTTTGTTGGATGTAACTGGGACCCTGTGTACATAGTTTCATCCCACCTCATGTACCACCTGAGGTGTGTATGACAAGTAAATCTCTCTGAACCTCAGAAGCATGTGGAAGAACCACACACAGCCACAACAGCCTGGCACCTCTTCTTGCTGCTCACCAGTTTGGTCACACACAGCTGTGGGATGGCAGCTCATTCTCTACCAACATTTGTTGCAAGTCAGCCAAAGTGACTGTTCATAAAACAACTTGTCAACATTCTGCGGTGAAATAACACTACGAGCTACTAATGTACACATGCACATCTGCACGACACCACTAGTTTAGTTTGTCACAGTTTTTATACTGAAACACACGTTCAGTTTAGAAAACAGCAACAAACTAAACAACAGTGTTGTGCAAAAATGTAGATGTTTAATATTAGCCAATGAAGCATTTTTTCAGATTGGTATGCCATTATTGAGAAAGAGGTTCTTTTAAAGCCTGCAAAACAATAAAAAGGTACTTTCTTGGCTAACGGTTTCATTAAAAAAAAACTGCTTATTATTATGTTACACCAACTAATAAAATGTCAAATACCTTTTGTCACTCCATTAAAAAACAAAACATTTTAATCACACTAACAAATGAAAACATTTTTATTAAGACATGGGACTATTGTGAGAAAATAAAGTGTATCAGGGTGACAACACTTTGATTATGATTTCCAACAGTTGTTTGTCTGCAACAACACAATTACTCTTTCAATTTGTAGTTATTCTGATAAAAGCTGCAACTACTGACAAGATCTGTGGTGGATTTTGAGTCGTGTTTTTTTCCATTCTAATGAAAAAGATAAAGAAAATTTAGGAATATGTACATACATTAAGTAAGTAAAATCCACTGGTTACGATAAAGTAACTATTACCTTTGAAGGTTAATTTGGTATACAGGGAACAGGTTTTTAGTTTTCTACACTGCCTTACAATCTAGCTGTTTTTTTGCTACTTTTCCTTTAAATTACCATTTTATCTTCATTTGTAAAAAAAATATATATGTACGCATCCTTTACGACTGTCTATTGTTGTCGTTGTTGTCCACTGTTGTCATCACTCTTTGTTAAAATTCAGGTCTCTCTTGTAAATGAGTCCTCGAGGCTCAATGGGACTAACCTGTAGAATATAGGTTGAATGAATGGTTCAAATAAAA